GAGCGTGTGTGTGTGTGTATTCTTTCGAGTATAATTTATTCAAGCGTAAGAGAAAGTTGCTGGAGAAATTGACAAGAACTGAACCATAGAAAGGAAAATTGTAAAGGAGAAAGCTAGGTTGAAAGGAGAGGTGGGGTGAAAGGAAGTGAAAGGAGGGAGAGAGAGGGGGAGAAAGAGAGAGAGAGGGAATGAAAAAACATACACACCATAACACACACACACACACACACACACACACACACACACACACACACATCAAGTAAAACACAGAGATAAAAATAAAACACCCCTTGTTATTATTACAAAAGCGGAAGCGAGAAAAAACAAAGATTCGTTTTATTTTTTTCTTATTTTCTTTACGATGGATTTTTTTTTCATGTAACTCAACGACGAGGGTTTCCTGTAAGAGTATTATTGAAGGCTTATTGTTATTGCTTCTCTCTCTCCCTGTCTTTAATTTTTCTCTCTTTCTCTCTCTCTCTAAATTCTGGAAGGTATTTTTTGAGGTGGTCCTGGACTCTCTCTCTCTCTCTCTCTCTCTCTCTCTCTCTCTCTCTCTCTCTCTGTATCAATTTATCACCATTGCGAACCTTCCTTAATATATTCACCGAGCAATAAACTATGTATGTTTTTTCCTTCATATTTCTGTACTTATATCTAAAAAAATAAATAAATTCTACTAACAAATAAACTTTCAAAACACAAATGTACTTAAAATGACTCATAAAAAAAATAATAAAAAATTATCTCTAAAAATTATCAAAAATTTCTACTCTGTTTATTTACATTCTTAATACTTTTCCTCGTGTTATCTTTTAATGTTCCGAACGAAAGATAATTTAATATATTGCCAAATTTACGATTATCTGATAATTATTTTTTTTACGTTCAACTTGCGATTATTACGTAGCTTCCGTCCCCAGCAGTGATTGGTCGAGCGTCAATGTGCTTTTTGTGAACGTGTGTTGTACATCTGTTTAGCTTTTGTGTGATGTGTTTGTCTGTCTGTGTGTTAAGATTTAGCACAGCGGACTTGCTGGTTCATTTGTGCTTAAAACGCGATTTTGTAAGTAGAATCCACTCGTTTGGGGGGATATGAAGTGCACCTATTGGTCTATGTTCATCGTGACGTCAACCAATTGGGGACCTCAAGATGACCAAGAACCAATCAGATCGCGTCATACCCGCATCCAAGTGGATTTTGCCTCTGAGCGTCCGGCCCCCCAACATAAGACGAGAGAGGATGTGAACTGAGCCCGAGAGGAGACAAATTAGATCAGCTTAGAAAATGAACTTCACCTGATTCTGTGACACCTGTTGATCAGTTTATGTGATCAGATTGTCGTCATTGATCACTAAACTCACCTGATGGGTCTGATCAGGTTGTTTGAGACTTAGGTGATGGAAATATTCTCCATCGGTGCCAGTGAATGTCTCTCTACGTCTTTGTCTCTTAGATGAGTGTGAGACATCGATGGCTGGAGAGACAGTCTCCTTCATCAACAATATCTCTCTCTCTCTCTCTCTCTCTCTCTCTCTCTCTCTCTCTCTCTCTCTCTTTCTATGCTAAAACATTATAAGGCTGCACTAGAAACCTTGCAACAATTACAACACAACATTATAGAGAACTGAGAATAGTCATACATGGTTCAAGGTTGCTCTAGAAATTATAATTGCAACATAAACAGAAAAATATATAAACAAAAACATGGTAGGAAAATTAAAATCCAAAAAGGTACCAAAATTAAAGAAAAATAAATAAATAAAAAATGCTGGAATCTCATTATCTCATTATCTCCCACGACAGAGAGATAGAGAGAGATAAGTTAAGGAGATGTTTGTCACTGTAATGTCTGTATTTAGATTGTTGTTATTCATAGTGTAAACAATTCTGTACTTCTGTTGTGATTACTGTAAGGATCATTGGACTGTAGGAACGTAAGATACTCCCTGGTTAGATGAGGGCGCTCTGTCTCTCTCCTGGGCATGTATAGGACTTCTGCTCTTACTGATATTGATATTATATTTTATTCCTGCACCTCAATAAACTCTAATGATATTAAAATGTATAAGTGTATTTTAAACCCAAAATTCTGAATTCGATCCCTTTAAAATTTGACCAAAAATCAGAATAAATCTAAAAATACAAATATTCTTCAGATAATTCTAATTACAACAGGTGTTACATATGACCAGGTAAGAGACAGGTATTAGTCGAGGGCTCATTAGACCATCTCATAGCTGGCTTCATTAGTATAACGTCATGTGTGTTTACAGCTTACTAGACCCATTTCTTTGTTTTTACGCGAGAGAAAACGAGACATTTAATACCAGGAGGAACTAAAGAATTTGTTTAGGATAGTGTAACATTTTTTTTGTTTAGTTAGTGTTGTGTTGAGCTTCGTAGTTGGTGATCGGTTACTGTACAGTGTTGACGAATTATCAGGACTTAAACCAGCTGAGTTGTGGGTTTAATTTTGGCGTTTTTATATGACACAATTCTAATGTAACCCTACATAACCTAACCTAACTTTATAACCCTGATTTAACCTAAATTAATATAGCCTCACTTTACCCTAACCTAACCTAACCTAACAATCTTCTGTGTAGTTCCACGTCTCCTTATTCACTCGTGTCATCAAATTACCACAAAATTTAATAGCCACGTAATTAAGCGCTAATGTCGTGGTCATTTATCAACACTGTACAGTATATATTGTTTAGGCTCATAGGAGTTGCTTTGTTGTTGTCTGAGTGGCTTCCTATTGGTCAGAATTCCTGTCATAGAAAACGTATGGAGAGTAGAATACCATCTAAATTAATGCCCAAACTATAGTATTTTAGCTTAGAGTTAAAATATGTTTATAAATTAAATAAAAATCAATATGTTTTTAGAATTAAGGTTTTAGGAGTCCCAAGATTTAGTTAATTTGGTGGTGATATAAATTTATGAATATATTAAAGATTTTCAAGATCCATAAGCGTTGAAATTTGATGAGGTAACGTGGGTAAAAATTCATTATTTTTTGGGATAATGGTTATAGAAGTAATTAACTAAATCTTGGATGGTTGATTAACACACACACACACACACACACACACACACACACAGAGTCTACCTGTAGGTGTGAGGTTAATGAGGTTAATAACAGGTGTTGCCTAGATCAATTTATGTGGTATTTTACACAAGGGTTTCTAAAGTAGTAGGCCTATACTTTTTTAGAATTAGAAACCCAAATTACAATGTTCTTTATTCATAAGCTAAGCTATTCTATGTACAATATCTTAAAAAAAATAATAATTAATTTTTTTTTCTAAATAGAGAACATAAAATTTGAATCACACTTCAAAAGGTTTCTAAAATAACATGTTATTTTGTCGTGTCATCATTACCATACACCACAGCTAACGTTTGATAATTAGTGCTATAATTAATTAGTGAGGTAGGTGTAGGGTCATCACTTCTACCACACTTGAACCATTAGGAGGATCATTAGAACTTAATTACAGGTAGTTAAAAGCATTGCTATTATACAACCTTAATTAATGTAAACAAAATTATATATAACAAATAATAATTTTATATATTAACTATATCAGTAGTATTGACTAAATTATAACCGAATTTACATATAACAGCAGGTAAGTCTAAATTAGCCAACCCAGGTGTTAATTAAGATGCTGTACCTGTAGATGTTATATGATGTTTTTCAGGTATAGGAAAGAATGTTTGGAGGCAATATAACAGGACTATACAATGACAGGTGATATATTAGTCTATACTAGGGTTATCTATAACTGTGTGTGTGTGTGTGTGTGTTCACGGCTATATATCATATACCCTATACAGTACACGATATATAATATTTTTGACAGCGTACATACAGACAGACAGGCAGCCCAAATAACTTAAGACTCATAAGAAAGAACACCATAAAACCTCATAAAACACCATAAAACACTATTAAACACCATAAAACACTATTAAACACCATAAAACACTATTAAACACCATAAAACACTATTAAACACCATAAACACTATTAAACACCATAAAACACTATTAAACACCATAAAACACTAAACACCATTATAAACACCATTAAACACTATTAAACACCATAAATTTAAACACCATAAAACACTAAACACCATAAAACACTATTAAACACCATTAAACACTATTAAACACCATAAAACACTATTAAACACCATAAAACACTATTAAACACCATTAAACACTATTAAACACCATAAAACACCATTTAAACTCCATAAAACACCATTAAACACTGTTAAACACCATAAAACACCATAAAACACTATTAAACACAATAAAACACCATTAAACACCATAAAACACCATTAAACACCATAAAGCACCATTAAACACCATTAACCTCTATTTAACACCATAAATCACTATTGAAGACCATAAAACACCATTAAACACCATAAAACACTATTAAACACCATAAAACACTATTGAACACCATAAAACTTTATTGAACACCATAAAACACCATTAAACACCATAAAACACCATTAAACACCATAAAACACTATTAAACACCATAAAACACCATTAAACACCATAAACACTATTAAACCCCATAAAACACCATTAAACACCATAAAACACCATTAAACACCATAAAACACTATTAAACACCATAAAACACTATTAAATACCATAAAACACTATTAAACCCCATAAAACACCATTAAACACCATAAAACACTATTAAACACCATAAAACACTATTAAACCCCATAAAACACCATTAAACACCATAAAACACTATTAAACACCATAAAACACTATTAAACACCATAAAACACTATTAAACACCATAAAACACTATTAAACACTACTCATAAACACAGGTATAGGATAAAACACCATAAAACATAGATTAAGTTAAGATAAACACATCCCTAAAATGTTAACCACATGAACTAACCAAGACCTTCCCGGCCTCCTTCTTCCCCTTCCACAGGAGCTGGTCGCCTCCACACCTAACCAACGCAACTGGAGAGGCATCCTGATCGCCCTGCTGGTGATTGGCTGTGTCTGTGGGCTGATCATCTTCTCCGTCGTGTTGCTGACGCCGCCTGACGCTGGCCCGAGGTTCACAGGCAACAGGTTCGCATTAGCTGACATTATCAGCGGTGCGTTCAAGCCGCCGGGGTTCAACGGCAAGTGGATATCAGGTAAGTCAGTTTGGGCTGGTGTGTTTGTTTGTGTTTGGGGAGGGGAGAGGAAAGGGAGGGGAGAGGAAATGGAGAGAGGAGGAGAAAGGGAGAAGGGAGAGGAGAGGAGGGGAGGAGAAGGGGATCTACATTAGCCAAATTAACGACACCAGTTCGATAAAATAGTTAAATTAGAGAGATCCTAACTACCCATTCTGCTTGTTTAATAACCTTAACGGGATAACGACTTCACTGGAAGGGGGAGGGGGGGTGGGGGAGTGGTGTGGTGTAGTCTGTTACCTTATATCTAGGACACCGGTTCGATATTGTGAGACACGGGGGCAGATTTGGTACGGGATTGTGGCGGCCGAGTGAGTTGGTTCGTGAGATGAATGGGTAATCCCTCTTACCTTCACAGAGGGATTTGAAGGGATTAGGGATTACAGGTAGAGGTGTTAATTAACCTGGTTGTTAAAATTGAGGATTTTTCTTCAATGGAATAAAAAATAATATGTATTTAGACAGATATTAAGAGAGACGAAAGGATAGATAAAGATAAGGAAAATAGGTGAATAAAGAGAGAGAGAAAGGGAGACGAATAAAGACAGAGAAAGATAACTAGAGACAGTCGGACATACAGACAAATATAAACAGAATGAGAAACAGTGAAAGAGAGAGAGAGAGAGAGAGAGAGAGAGCCGACAAACTAGGTCACAGGAGGTCAAGACGGTACAGGGGGTCGATTATTATTATTATTTTCTCAGGACACACACACACACATACCACACACACACATGTCACACACAAAGCTAAGATCCCCCTCCCTTTCTTTTTTACCTGACATTTCATGGCAGACGAACACAGACACCAATTCAGAGTACAAAGAATCATCTCCTCCCTCTCTCTCCCTCTCCTCTCTCACCTCACCAGGCTATTCTCTGTCTCTCCCCTCACTCTAATTTCTTGTATCTCAGCCCTGCCACGCCCTCTCAGTCACACAGCCACAGACAGACAGATAGAGAGACAGACAGACAGACATACACAGACAAACAGAGAGACAGACAGACAAATAGACAGAGAAATAGAGAGAGAGATAAACCACTGTCTCTTTCTCTCTCACACAAGTAAAGAAAAAATAATCGATGTTTTTATGAGAGGAAATAAAATTTTCATCTGTATTGAACTAAATAATATCTGTCTGTCTGTCTGTTTATGGGTCTGTTTCTGTCTGTCTGTCTGTTTATGGGTCTGTTTCTGTCTGTCTGTCTGTTTATGGGTCTGTTTCTGTCTGTCTGTCTGTCTGTTTATGGGTCTGTTTCTGTCTGTCTGGTTCGTTTATGGTTCATTTCGTCTGTTCGTCTGTTTCTGTCTGTCTGTCTGTCTGTCTATCTGTACGTCTTCCTTCTGGTTCCTTGTGACTGTCTAGCTATCTATCTATCTGTAAATCTCTGTCTCTAAAATTTCTGGTTAAATCGGATTAAGGTTAAGTTAGGGATTAGGTTTAAATCTGATTAGAGGCAACATAAGGCTATGGGAGAATCAGATTAGAACCAAGATGAATCAGTGGATTTTTTGTGTGTGTGTTTACGCAGAAAATTACGAAATGTGATGAAATAGGTTTAGGTTAGGTTCTCATCTGTGGGTGAAATTGGATTGTCTGTGTGTGATGAAGATGACGATGGAATTTTGGTGTTTATGATTGAAGTTGAATAATAGATCGATGGTGGGTGGGGTGGGGTGGGTGGTGGGTGGGGTGGTGTGTGGTGTGTGGGTGGGTGGGTGGGTGGGCGGATGGATGGTGGTGGGTGGGTGGGTGGTGGGCGGATGGTTGGTGGGTGGGGGTGTGGGTGGGTTGGTTGGGTGGGTGGGTGGTGGTGGATGGTGGGGTGGGTGGGGTGGTGGGTGGTGGTGGGTGGTGGGTGGTGGGCGGATGGTTGGTTGGTGTGGGTGGGTGTGGGGTGATGTTGTGGGTGGTGGGTGGATGGTTGGTGGTGGGTGGTGGGTGTGGTGGTGGTTGGTGGGTGGTGGGCGGATGGATGGAAGAATATACACACACACAGTGATCACATATGCATGGGTCTCTCCCATATATTCACACATGAACGAGTCGTATGCAAATCACTGGACTGTAAGGAACGGATGATACTGTCTCAACTATATGGCTTATGGTGTGTGTGTGTGTGTGTGTGTGTGTGTGTGTGTGTGTGTGTGTGTTGTTAGTGTTTGTGTGTGTGTGTGTGTGTGTGTGTGTGTGTGTGTGTGTGTGTGTGTGTGTGTGTGTGTGTGTGTTTTCTGCTTGTGATTTTCATCTCTGGGAGAATGGGTTTGGCCTGACAACGAACAATCTATTGCAGATCTCTCTCTCTCCCAGCCTTAATATACTGAATAGAGAGAATTTATATCACATTAAACACCTGAGCTGAATCTAAAGTCGCGGGAGGGGGCTGTATTGGAGTCGTTTAAGGTCGTTCTTTGGTCGTATGAGCATTATTAGATATATTTGGGGTTCGTTTTAAGTTCGTTTTAGGGTCGTTTGAGTGTCATAGGGTCGTACTAGGGGTCGTCTTGGTGGTCGTGGTTTGGGATTGTTTTATGGTCGTCTCGGGGTCGTACTAGGGTTGTCTTGGTGGTCTTGGGTGTTTTGGGATTGTCTTGGGGTCGTCTTAGGTCTTGGAGTCGTCTTTGGGGGTCGTTCGTCTTTCAAACTTATAGAATCTATGGTTTTGTTTTTTAATAAGAAATTTTACAAAGCATACTTTACTCTCAGACAGGGGGCAGGGTAGACAGGGACAGGGAGACAGGAGGCAGACAGGAGGCAGGGAGACAGAGGCAGGGGTAGACAGAGAGCAGGGGCAGAGAGAGGCAGGGGCAGACAGGAGGAGGTGTAGACAGGGACAGGGGTAGACAGAGGGCAGGGTTAGAAGGGCAGACAGGAGGCAGGGGGGAGGCAGACAGGAGGGGTAGACAGGGGCAGGGGTAGACAGGGGAGCAGGGGTAGACAGGGGGCAGGGGTAGACAGGGAGCAGGGGTAGACAGAGGGCAGGGGTAGACAGGGGAGCAGGGGTGACAGGAGGCAGGGGTAGACAGAGGGCAGGGGTAGACAGAGGGCAGGGGGTAGACAGAGGCAGGGGGTAAGACAGAGGGCAGGCAGGAGCAGAGGTAGGGAGACAGGAGGGGGTGGGCAGGAAAGGTGTGGGGGCAGGTGGAGCAGGGCAGACAGGAGGCAGGTAGAGGCAGGGGTAGACAGGGCAGGTAGACAGAGGGCAGGGGCAGACAGGAGCAGGGGAGACAGGAGGCAGGGGAGAGAGGTAGACAGGGGTAGACAGAGGGAGGCAGACAGACAGGGGAGAGGCAGACAGGAGGCAGGCAGACAGGGGAGCAGGGAGACAGGGAGCAGGGGAGACAGGAGGGGGTGCAGACAGAGGGCAGGGGGAGACATAGGGCAGGGGTAGACAGATGGGCAGGGGCAGACAGAGGGCAGGGGAGACAGGGGGCAGGGGCAGACAGGGGAGGCAGGCAGACAGGGCAGGTAGATAGAGGGCAGGGGCAGACAGGGAGCAGGCAGACAGGAGGCAGGGGTAGACAGGGACAGGGGTAGACAGAGGGCAGGGGTAGACAGGGAGCAGGGCAGACAGAGGCAGTAGACAGAGGGCAGGGGTAGACAGGGAGCAGGGGAGTAGAAGACAGGCAGGGTAGACAGGGAGGCAGAGGGTAGATGAGGCAGGGGGAGCAGGGGCAGACAGAGGGTAGACAGGGGAGCAGGGGTAGACAGAGAGGGCAGGGGTGACAGGGAGACAGAGAGTAGACAGAGGCAGACAGGAGCAGGGAGACAGAGGCAGGTAGACAGGAGGGGACAGACAGGGCAGACGGGCAGGACAGGGGGCAGGGCAGACAGAGCAGGGAGACAGACAGGGGTGAGACAGACAGAGACAGGTAGACAGACAGGGGTACAGAGGCAGGGGAGACAGGAGCAGGCAGAGGGGCAGGCAGAGTAGGACAGGGGTAGACAGAGGGCAGGGGTAGACAGAGTGCAGGGCAAGATGAGGTGTAGACAGGCAGACAGGAGGCAGGCAGAGAAGACAGGGGTAGACAGGGAGGAGGGGTAGACAGAGGGGCAGGACAGGAGGGACAGGGAGGGCAGACAGGCAGGTAGACAGAGCAGGGGTAGACAGGGAGCAGGGGAGGCAGGGGTAGACAGAGGCAGGGCAGAAGGGGTGGGACAGAGGCAGGGAGACAGAGGCAGGGGTAGGAGCAGGGGCAGAGGAGGGGTAGACAGGGAAGCAGGGGGTAGAGGTAGACAGAGCAGGGGTAGAGAGGGAGGCAGGTAGACAGGGAGGTAGACAGAGGCAGGGCAGACAGGGAGCAGGGGTGACAGAGGCAGGGAGACAGAGGCAGGAGCAGGAGCAGTGGGTAGACAGGGGCAGAGAGGTAGACAGGAGCAGGGGTAGACAGAGGAGGGTAGACAGGGAGCAGGGGTAGACAGAGGGTAGGGGCAGGAGGGGGTAGACAGAGGGAGGGGACAGGCAGAGCAGAGGCAGGGGTAGACAGGAGCAGGGGTAGACAGGGACAGGGGGAGATAGAGGGGCAGGGTAGACAGGGACAGGGGTAGACAGAGGGCAGGGGTAGACAGGAGCAGGGGCAGACAGAGGGCAGGGGTAGACAGGGACAGGGGTAGACAGAGGGCAGTAGACAGGGAGCAGGGGTAGACAGATAGCAGGGACAGGGCAGAGGATGGCAGGGGTAGGGACAGGACAAGACAGAGGGGGGGCAGACAGGACAGGGGTAGACAGGGGCAGGGAGACAGAGCAGGGCAGAGCAGAGGGTGGGGGTAGACAGGAGCAGGGCAGACAGGAGCAGGGGTAGACAGGAGGCAGGTAGACAGAGGGCAGGGGTAGACAGAGGGCAGGGGTAGACAGGGGCAGGGGCAGAGAGTAGGCAGATAGATGGCAGGGGTAGACAGAGGGTAGTAGGGGAAGGGGTAAACAGGGACAGGAGGGTGGAGGAGTTGGTCTCTGCTGTCG